GTGGGCCAAAGGATAAAGATGGGGTGAGTTGAATGAGGGGTCCAAGGATGAAAGGTGGGTTCAAGGACAGCTCTAAAGATGAAGGACAGGTCTAAGATTGGGTCTAAAAATGAAAAATGGTTCTGAGTACAAAGGAAAAGTCTAAATATGGGCCTAAGGATGAAGGATGGGTCTAATGAGGGATCCCAGGACGAGTCCAAGGACAGGTCTAAAGATGAAGGATGGGTCTAAGGGTGGTGGATATGTCTAAGTACAAAGGAAAGGTCTAAGTACAGGTCAAAGGATAAAGGGTGGGCCAAAGGACAAAGGCCAGGTCTCATGAGGGGTTCAGAGATGAAGGGTGGGTCTAAAGATGGGTCCAAGGATGATGGGTGGGTCTAGGCAGAGGTCAAAGGATAAAGGAAGGGCCAAAGAACAAAGGATGGACCAAAGGCCAGGCCAAAGGCCAGGTCTAAAGAGGGGTCCAAGGATGAAGGATGGGTTCAAGGGGAGGTCTAAAGGTCTAAGGATGGGTCCAAGGATGATGGGTGGGTCTAGACTGGACAAAAGATGGGTCTAAGGGTAAAGTCCCCCCACCCCAGGGCAGATCCCTCAGACGCTCCTTCTAAGGGTTAACACACACCCTTAATGAGCTGGACTTCTGTTCCCCAACTAGTGGATTTTTGAGACCTCCCATTCTGAGTTAGTTTCTTTCCTGGCTCCTGGCTGATGGATAATCATTAACTATCCATGAGAGGTTCCAATGGCCCATGGAATTCATGAGGTATTAAATTATTTTATCAGCCACGCTCAATGTTTTGTTTCCGTTTGAGGACCATTCCTGAGATGTTTATGGGTTGTGGATTTATGGAAGTCAGGGGATCTTTTCAGGAGTAATGTTCCGTACCTCGGAGTTACGGTCGACAGCTGGAGACTCCATGCGGGAAAATTGGAGGCTGGGAGCTCCAAAAAAAAAAATCAGACTTAACCCCTGCCTCAGAAGGTCTTGGCACACAGAAATGATGGATTAAACACTGGGAATAAGATCCAAAACACAACATTCAAGGAGTTTATGAGCTGTCATCGGGAATCAAGCAGTACACGGTGGCCTTGCGCGGGAGGGGACCCGGTCGCTGCTGCTGCTGTCACAAATAAACAGTGGTGTTTGATTTTCTGTTTGTGCCTAGGTGGAAAAACCCGGGGGGAGCAGCCCCGGAGAGCGGAGCCCCCGAGGGCTCCACTCCATCAATCCCCACCCACAGCTCATGGGGAGAGAGATTTCTCCTTCTGCCAAAGCCACCCCTGGCTCCCCAGAGCCCGTTTCACCCCATCCTGAGCTGGGGAGGAGACAAAGGGACTTTGGATAAGTGACAGGACACAGGGAATGGCTTCCCACTGCCAGAGGGCAGGGATGGATGGGATACTGGGAATTAGGAATTGTTCCCTGGGAGGGTGGGCAGGCCCTGGCACAGGGTGCCCAGAGCAGCTGTGGCTGCCCCTGGATCCCTGGCAGTGCCCAAGGCCAGGCTGGACACTGGGGCTTGGAGCAGCCTGGGACAGTGGGAGGTGTCCCGCCCATGGCAGGGGTGGAACAAGACGAGTCCTTAATGTCCCTTCCCACCCAAACAATTCCATAAATCAGCCTGAGGAACACCAGCCTCCCTCCTGGGAGGGTCTCAGAAGGGTCCTTGAAGAGACCAGGCAGGATGGGGTTAAACCACCAGCCCGAATTGTTCCAGTGTGTTGTCATAGTGTGCCTCAGTTTCCCCTGAAGATTCCTTCCCCAGGAGTCAATCACCTCTCCTTTCCTCCACCCTGACTCCTGCTGGGCACTGCCTATGAACCCAGAGAATCCAGGGAAGCATTGAGTGACTGGCAGGTTCAAGGATGCTCTCCACCCCCTGGGGGCCATTGGCCCATCCAGGTGTCCCTCTCACCTGAGACCCCCTCCCCCATACCTGGTGGTGGTCCCTGTGTTCCCTGCCCCTCTCCCTGGGTAAAAGGACGGGCACACCACACGCTGGGGAGTCCTTGTGGAGTCGTTACTACATTCAGAGGCCATGTGGCCCAGAATAAAAACTCTGGATTCAACTCTCCATCAGGACCGACTCCTTCCTTCACCATCACCTTTAAAGGTTTCTCCAGCACAGGGAGGGCTGAGGAGTGACCCTCTTCTAGCAACAAGCCCCAGCTGTAAGCTCTGGAGCTCTGACATGCTGGACTTGTCCCCACTCCCAGCTACCCAAAGTGTCTCTGGGGTGGAACACCACGGTTGCTGCTGTTTGGTTCAGCAGCAGGGGGCAGACAAGTCAAGGCTCGTCCCATGCAGTAATATTGGTGAAAAGCAATACCAAATCACTCCAGGAGATTCCACCCAGCACTCAGGGTCCCCAGGAGGGTCCTCAAAGTCTTGGCTCTCCATGTCCAGCCCCTCCCTCCATTCTGGAACGGGACACAGGGAACAGAAAACCCCAATCCAAAGCAGCCCAAGGGCCCAGGGGCACAACTAGAACCAGGAGGGGTTGATCAGGGAAGGTTCCAAACCCCGCTCCAGGGATGAGCTCCCTCCTGCAGGAGGCATAGAGGACTGGGACTTCAGGGACACTGTAAGAGTGGCATTAAAAAAAACTAACCATCCTCAAATTCCATGGCCATGACCATAAAATAACAATTAGCTGAGAAGAGGCTGAAAATATTTCAATTTTAATCCACTTTTTATCTGTGCCAGGCATTTTCCACCTCATCCAGGCTAATAAACAGCTTCCACTCCAGCAGGGCTGTGCTGGAAAAAAAGAGGGAAAAAAGAAGAAGCTGCCTCTTTAATGCACTAATTACAATCCCGAACCACTAATGGGATTAGCAGGCAGGATTTAGTGGTTGTCTCCTGCAAAATCATTAAGTGCCATTAGAGAAAATGAAGTTCCCTGCTTCTCCAAGAGGCTTGCAGGAATCCGGATCCAACCCGGCGCAGCGGCCCCTGGAGCACAACGGGGCCCTGTCAATGCCGGCTCCTTCCCTGATTAATTCCCTAATCAGGAGCTGAAATTGCCCAGCACCACTGGGAAGAGAGCACTGGAGGCACTGGGAGAACTGGCTGCAGTCAAGCAAAGGAATCATGGAATGGTTTGGCTTGGAAGGGTCCCAAAGCCCACCCAGTGCCACCCCTGCTGTGGCAGGGACACCTCCCACTGTCCCAGGTGGCTCCAAACCCCAACCAACCTGGCCTGGGACATTCCAGGGATCCAGGGGCAGCCACAGCTGCTCTGGGCAGCCTGTGCCAGGAAGGTGGAGAGCAATGAAGGCAGAGGGGACATCACTGTGTGTTTGTGTCACCCTGTGTGACATTTCCATCTGCACGCCCTTCCCTGTTCCTTCCCTTTGCAGGGAATTCCAGGCACCCCCTCCCCACACTGCGGAGTCAGAAGATTTGATGGTGTCCAGCTCCACGCCAGGGTGACCACGAGTGCTGGAAGGTGACGACATGAGCTTTAACTCCTTCCAGCCCGCACCTTGATTCCTTTGATCCCTGCCTGACTCCATCCAGCTTTCCCAGCGTCTCCAGCGCTCCCTTCCCGGGAGGATCCATGCGGTGCTGCCCGGCAATTTCAGCTCAGGATCATCAGGGAATGCCCGGTGACCACCCCAGGGATCAAACAGGGCAAGCTCTGCCCTCAGTGAGACCTTCTCCAGCCGAGGGCAGAGCATGGATTGGGGGCTGGAATGCCGAGAAAAGCAGGAGCAGGGAGAGGCTGCTCCAAGGGAACGCGGGGATGCTCCCTGGGGACACGGGGCTGCTCCTGGGGACCAAACAAAGCAAACACTTCTCCAGTGCCTAAGCACCAGGGGAGGGTGGCCTTCCAGGAGGCATTTTCCAGCTGAAATGGCTTTGTTCCCAAGAGATAAAAGCCTTTGGAGACCAAAAATTCCCAGCTCAGGGGAAAAGGAGGGCGGGTGATTACCCTCACTCGGGCGATGAGGGCTGCCACAGCCCGGGGGACAAGTGACACCGCCATGCTGAGGCCACCAGACACATCTGCCACCCCCAAACCCGCTCTGGTTCCCTCTGCCCAACAAGGGGAGCGCCAGGTCAGGCACTGGGAGCAGCTCAGTGGATTTAACCCTTCCGTGTCCCAGGAGGGTCCGTGCTGTGCCAGGGCATCCATGCTCCCTCCACAGCCCTCAGGGGACTCTTCCCAGGATTCTGGCACGGCCTTTTTATCCTCAAGAACCCCGAATTTTGGGACGAAAAGAGCAGTTTGTCCCGGGATCCTGCTTTGGACCAGCTCCATCCCGAAACACCCTCAGGGAGGGGAGGTGATGTCCCACAGTGGCCGCGAGTCCCCTCTGCCAGCCCATGCCATGGCGGGAGAAAGGGTTTCCGAGCAGGGCCACCGAAAGGGGAGGAAAGGGATGGAGAGGAATGTAGGGATGCCAGCGAATCCTTTCCCTGCGCAGCAGCAGCCTCTGCCGGCAGCGGAGCCGCAGAGCAGGAGCCGCGGGGATGGCAGAGCCTGGAGAGCACCGCCAGGGATGGGAAGGATCCCGGGGGTCTCCAGGACACAAAGTGTCCTCTCCAGGAGGATTTATAAATCCATGTATCCACTTTCCAGATGGAAGGTGATTATTCCCATCTCTCTCCGGCTGCACCACTCCCTCACACAGTCCTCACGGCCTTCCCGTGCGGCAGCTGGAAAATCCAACCCTCCCATCCCACATTCCAGCATTGCCAGCCAGCAATCCTGGAGCGCCTGGGTGCTCCCCACCCACCCCAAGATGAGATCCCGGGGGAGCAGAACGCCATCCCACACCATCCCCGCTCCCCACCCACCCCAAGATGAGATTCCGGGGGAGCAGAGCCGACACCGTCCCACAACAGCCCCGCTGCAAGGAGCTGCCAAAAGGAATTTCCACACGGAACCTCCAAACAAAACACATTATTTAGTGATAAATGGACTTTCCCCAAGGCGCTGGGATGAGGTTTATCCCCCCCGACGCGCACCAGCCCCCGGGGCACCACTTACTTGGGGGTGTGCGCCTCATCCACGCGGTGCCCCAGCTGGAACTCGTGGGATTTGCTCCGGTGCAGCGCCGTGAACCCCGGGATGAGGTGGATCAGCTTCCGCGACGAGGGCGGGGGCGTCCCGGGGGGCTTCAGCTTGTTCCTGCGGCGCACGGGGGGGGTCCCCGGCGGCGTCATGGTGGTGACGATGTTGGGGGTGCGCGGCGGGGTGTGCGCGGCGTGCCGCTGCCGCGGCGACGGCGGCAGCGAGCGGTGGCCGGACTCGAGGGGCGGGCAGAGCCCCGGGTGGCCCTCCACGGTCAGGCGGTCCACGTGCGTGTACACGGGGCCGTGGGACGAGCCGGCGTGGCAGTGGTGCTGCCCGCACTTGGGCTGGAGCTTGGGGCTCGGGTGCGTCCTGCCCCAGGGGCCCGGCTCGGCGGGGCAGCCCGGGCTGTTCTCCTTGCCCGGCTCCGTGCTCGGCCACTGGATGGTCCAGTCCTGCTTGGAGAGGCTCCCGCCTGGAGAGGGCACAGAGACACGGCCATGCGGTGCGGCAGAGGGTGGGAGTTGCCTGCTCAGCCCCGCAGGGGTTAAAGGTGCCATCCCTGGGAGGGTTTGGGGGCTGGATGGGGCTGGGAGCTGCCGGGGGGAGTGGAAGGTGTCCTTGCCCAGGGAATGGGACGATCCTAAAGGTTCCTTCCAACTCAACTGTTCCATGATTGATTTGATACTGGCACGGCGTCCCAGCAAGAAGCTTCTCTGTGTTACAGAATCTTGGAATGGTTTGGGTGGGAAGGGACATTAAGGATCATCTCATCCCACCCCTGCCATGGCAGGCACACCTCCCACTGTCCCAGGCTGCTCCAAGCCCTGTCCAGCCTGGCCTTGGGCACTGCCAGGGATCCAGGGGCAGCCACAGCTGCTCTGGGCACCCTGTGCCAGGGCCTGCCCACCCTGCCAGGGAACAATTCCTAATTCCCAATATCCCATCCATCCCTGCCCTCTGGCAGTGGGAGCCATTCCCTGTGTCCTGTCCCTCCATCCTTGTCCCCAGTCCCTCTCCAGCTCTCCTGGAGCCCCTTCAGGCCCTGCAAGGGGCTCTGAGCTCTCCCTGGAGCCTTCTCCTCTCCAGGTGAGCACCCCCAGCCCTCCCAGCCTGGCTCCAGAGCAGAGGGATGGGTGGCCTGAAGACCACAGGGATTCCCACAGGATCACCCAGTGCCACCCCTGCCATGGCAGGGACACCTCCCACTGTCCCAGGCTGCTCCAAGCCCCAGTGTCCAGCCTGGCCTTGGACATTCCAGGAATCCAGGGACAGCCAGAGCTGCTCTGGAGATCCCACTGTGGAGCCTCACCCCTCCAAGGGAGGGACTTGCCGGGGTGGAGGTGTCCCCACGTGTCCCCACCACCCCCAGCTCCCACGGCCACCCCAGACGGCGGCACTGGGCTGGATGGTGACACCCCAGGCTGATGCCCAACTCACCCCCATAATGAGGGTGCTGTAATTAACAGAGGCTCCTCTCCACTCCTCATTATCCATCGCCACCAGGAGCCAAGCAGCACCTTGGGAGCACCCCAGGGATGATCCAGCGGAATTTGGCCCTTGATCCCAGCTCAAAGCCCCTTGACCGAGGCATTTTGATTGCCCCCATCGAGGAAAACCCAAATCTCATTTCCCAAACCCCCTCCCAGGCTGGGTTGGTAATGGATCCTCTCCCCATTTCATGGGAATGCTCCAGTTCAGGCTCCAGAGGAAAAGGAGAGGCTTGGGAAATTAAAAATTTGGGTTGAAAGAAAGCTTCGAGTCAAGGGCTGGAGGATGGGGCGTGAGGAGTTTGCTGGAGTCCTTTTCCCAGAGTCCAATATCAAAATAAATTTTAAAAAAGGCCCAAATAATTGTAAAATATGAAAAAATTAACAGGAAAAATTCCCAAATAATTGTAAAATATTTTAAAAATAACAATAAACAATTCCTAAATAATTGTGAAATATTTTAAAAATAACAATAAACAATTCCTAAATAATTGTGAAATATTTTAAAACATGTATGAACAAAAGAATAAAAAATATTTAAAATCTTTAAAATTAAAATGAATTCATTAGAATGAATAAGAAATTAAGGCAAACAAAATAGTATTAATTAAAATTTTGTAAATTAAAATTAATTAATTAGAATAAAATCTAATTAAAATTCTAATTGAAAGGTTTTTAATTAAAGTTATTTCACTGAAATTAAAAATACATAAAAATAAATAAAGTAACAATCATAATTTAAAACTCTAAAAAATAAAACAGATTAATTAGAATGAATAAGAAGTACTAATAAATAAAAAGTAAGAAGTAAAAGTGTTGTAAATTAAAATTATTAGAACACATGAGAAATGAAAATACATAAAAACTATAAATGCTTAAAAATAATTAGTTAGAACGATGAATAAATCAAAATAAATGAAACTAAAAATAAGAATAAAAATATTTGCAAGAAATAAATCTGAAAAATCACAGCATATGCAAATCACTGCGTGCCTATGCAAATCCTGCTCTTCCCATTGGCCGCTTTCTCCGCCTTGATTTGCATAAGGCCGAACCGGCCCGGCGCTAATTAGCGGCGTTAATGAAGACGGGGTGAGGCTCTCCCCGCGCCCCCCGTGTCCCCGCGATGCTCCCGGGATTAAAAACAACCCCAGTGGGGGCTGAAAATAACCGGGAAAAGTCATTCCAGACGGGAAGGCGGCAGGCAGCGAGATGGGCTCAGCTGAAACCGGGAATGCGCTTCAGAGGGGAAAAAACCCCAAAAAATATCCCAAAGCTGCTCCGGCTCCCCCGCTCTGCTGCTCTGATTGCCGCCTGGAAAAGCACACGGAGAGCTGGCAGGGAAAGTCCCTCTGTCCCGTTTGTCCCCACACTGGCCGCCTGATTGCTCCCAAAAACTTCGTTGTTTTGTTTGGAATCCGAATATTATGTATTATAGTGTGTTATTTAATAATATATTTAATATATATTATTTGTTATTATATTTGTTATTATATTATACAGTATTTATTTAATATGTTGTCTATATATTATTTATTATATATAATATATATATATTATATATTATATTAATTATATATTATATGTTATATATATTTTATGTATTCTATATATTATATATACTATATAATATAGACTTTTATATATATAATATAAATGTATAGTATATATATTATATATATATACTATATAATATAGACATTATATGAAATATAATGTTTAATTGAATATATTTAATGTATATCATTTAACCCTATTTATTTAATAATAATTATAGTATTTTTTGGATATCAGCCGCAGCCACCCCCCAGTCCCAGGGGCCACCTCTCCTGTCCCTGTGGATGCTCCCTTTGGTGATTTTCCTTCATTAATCCCCTCGGATCCCTCCTCCCACCCCATTTCAGCAGGGATGCTTTTCCCAAACCACTCCATTAAAAACCGACAGGAGAACAAACTCCTGGGAAGAGGAGGCAGCTCTGGGATGCAGCTCACGGATCCCCAGATGGAAAGATTCCACCTGTCCCAAACGACAAAGAGCGAGCTTTGCTTTGTTTTCCTAAAAAGCAAAGGCTGGGGACGATTCCCATGGGAGCTGGCGAGGCAGCCCTGCAGCCCAGCACTCCTCTTCCCAAAAGCTGCTCCAAACTGCAGATTTTGGGATGCCCAGGGTTTTTGGGAGCTCCCACAGCCCTAGCACCCACATGCCAGGAAGCAGCCTCTGGAATGACTCTGGAATCTCCAGCTTGGCAGCACAGGGATATCAGGAATGTCAACCCTTCCCTCCTGTCCACCCCACCAGCACAGCTCCCAAATTCCCTCCAAACTGGGATTTTCCTGCTTTTCCCTCACTGCTCCCGACCCTGCCTGACCCCGTGCTGTCCCCAAGCCACCCTCAGCCTTCCCAGGGCTCATCAATATTCCATTCCAGCTCGTTTTTCCCAGTAGGACACTTAAAAACCTGCACACATCCCCAGCAGTCACAGCCCATCAACTCCTCCAGCCGCAGCTCCGCTCGGATTTAATGTGAAATTAATCCCGCTCCGAGATCAAACCCCAAAACAAAACCCCAAGGATCCAAGGAAAACCCAACCCACCCTTGTTACCACCACGAAGCAGGGGGGTTAGTGTGGATTTGGCACACTCTGATTTATGGGATGTGCCGGGGTTTTCCCTGCTGCCCCCAGGATGCTCGGCTGGGGAAGCGTCGCCCTTTCCAAGCCCATCCCGGCCAAATCCATCTCCATGAAACAGCCTCCAGCTCCCCGCCCCGGCAGGGGCGGCCTGGGAAATTAGAGGCTTCTAATTAACGACTCAATAAATAAAGATGGATGGGAAAGGTTAATCCTGAAGCTCATTCCTGCTTTATGAATACAAATCTTGGCGTCTCAGAAGCGGCTGCTGCGGCTCCTGCCAAGGAATTCCAGCTCTTAAGGAGGATCCAACTGGTTCATTAAGTACATTTTTAGGATGAGGACAATGTATTGAATCACAAGGAGATAAAATGCAGCTAAAATACAGATTAAAAGGCATTTCTGAAGCAGTTGGTGCATCTGGGGCTCCTTTGGGGGGCTGTCATATCCCAACGGATCTAAAATCCCAACACTGCACCCAAAGAGAGCATTGCTGCCATCCCGGGATGCTTTTCTATCCCCATCCTAAAAATTCCCAGACAGCTCCTCCTTGGACTGGCCAACCTCACTGCACAGAGCCATGGAGCCATGGAGCCATGGAGCCAGCCAGCAGCTCAAAATCCCTGGAATCCAGCAGATGCATGGATGGATGGATGGATGGATGGAGGATGGATGGATGGATGGAGGATGGATGGATGGATGGAGGATGGATGGATGGATGGAGGATGGATGGATGGATGGAGGATGGATGGATGGATGGAGGATGGATGGATGGATGGAGGATGGATGGATGGATGGAGGATGGATGGATGGATGGAGGATGGATGGATGGATGGAGGATGGATGGATGGATGGAGGATGGATGGATGGATGGAGGATGGATGGATGGATGGAGGATGGATGGATGGATGGAGGATGGATGGATGGATGGAGGATGGATGGATGGATGGAGGATGGATGGATGGATGGAGGATGGATGGATGGATGGAGGATGGATGGATGGATGGAGGATGGATGGATGGATGGAGGATGGATGGATGGATGGAGGATGGATGGATGGATGGAGGATGGATGGATGGATGGAGGATGGATGGATGGATGGAGGATGGATGGATGGATGGAGGATGGATGGATGGATGGAGGATGGATGGATGGATGGAGGATGGATGGATGGATGGAGGATGGATGGATGGATGGAGGATGGATGGATGGATGGAGGATGGATGGATGGATGGAGGATGGATGGATGGATGGAGGATGGATGGATGGATGGAGGATGGATGGATGGATGGAGGATGGATGGATGGATGGAGGATGGATGGATGGATGGAGGATGGATGGATGGATGGAGGATGGATGGATGGATGGAGGATGGATGGATGGATGGAGGATGGATGGATGGATGGAGGATGGATGGATGGATGGAGGATGGATGGATGGATGGAGGATGGATGGATGGATGGAGGATGGATGGATGGATGGAGGATGGATGGATGGATGGAGGATGGATGGATGGATGGAGGATGGATGGATGGATGGAGGATGGATGGATGGATGGAGGATGGATGGATGGATGGAGGATGGATGGATGGATGGAGGATGGATGGATGGATGGAGGATGGATGGATGGATGGAGGATGGATGGATGGATGGAGGATGGATGGATGGATGGAGGATGGATGGATGGATGGAGGATGGATGGATGGATGGAGGATGGATGGATGGATGGAGGATGGATGGATGGATGGAGGATGGATGGATGGATGGAGGATGGATGGATGGATGGAGGGATGGATGGATGGATGATAATAAAATCTGGGGGTGGAGGTTTAGTGTATGTCAGTGTCTTATGTAGAAGTATGTTAAATGTAATTTTAGTAATATTTTAGAATGAAATGTGTGTTTTCAGAGGCGAGAGGTGGAATGTCGTGCTTTGGCCCGGAATGGATGGATGAGGGATGGATAAAAGCAGCACAGCACCCCCATAGTGCACCCCAGAGCCACAACCCCATCACTGCTCAGTCCCAACATTCCCAAGGTCCCAGCAGCGCTGCTCTGCCCATCCCAATCCCACATCCCACCAAAACACACTGCCTACATAGGGAATCTGGACCTGGGTGGGACGAGCAGCTCCCATTACCCACTCTCAGCCCAAGGCATTCAGGGAGCATCCTGCCCTTCCCTGGCCAGAAATCCCACTGTTCCCAACTCCCTGCCAGCAGGAGAGGGGCAGGGACTCTGCTCCTGCTCTCCCAGGAGATGAAGAGGGGGAATTCCTGTGATGGAGCCATTTGCTTGGCAGGGAAGAGGGAGCCCATCTGGCATCGCAGGTGGAGCTTCCCACACCCAAATCCTTGAGAAATTCAGGGAGATTTGGTCTCCTCCACTGCCTGGGAAGCTCCTGCACCCCTCAGGGCTCTGCCTGTCACCTCCGTGTCCCCAAGGTTATGTCATCCACGGGACAATGCATCTCCAGCACGGCACAGAGCCACAGCAGCTGGAATTCCAAGGATCCTGATCCACTCTGGCAGAGCAGGAGTGGCCACGGCAGCATCCCAGCAATGCCGGAGGGACAGAGCCGCCGCTCCCGCTGGGAGCAGCAGGGTGATGGATGGAGTTAAATGGGAAAGACAAACACTCCCTGCCTGGCTGGCTCCCTCCTGCCGGGACCCAATGGACCACCAGGAATGCTGGCAGCCCTATCAGCTGCCCCATTAGGGAGCAAATGGAGCAGCAGCTTCCCAGAGACCTCCGGTGCTTCCATCTCCTCCTCCTTCCACCTCCTCCTGGATTGCCAAGCAAATCTATTCTATTTGCCATCTGTATGGCAGTTGTCTTCTGTCAAGTGGGCAGTTTTCCTTATCTCTTCCACACCCGCTCCTCCCTCTGGGGGCACATCTGCTGATAACAGGCTGTGGAATGTCCCTGCACGGCTGATAAGAACCACAGCATCCACTGGGAGATGTGAGCCCAGAGGAGGAGCCCAGCATTCCTGCCTGGATAGAATCTGAGATTCTGGGACACCAGCACGGCTTCTCCACTGGATTTCCCAGAGGAGCAGCTGCCTCTTCCACTGCATCTTCAGAGGAAGACTGCACCCTTCTCCAGGATCCCTGCTCCAGCAGAGCCACCCCTGACACTGCAGGACTGCAGTCACAATTCCAATTGGATCCTACCAGCACCGTGACCAACAGGGTGTCAGGTCATGTTCTGACTCTGTCAGTGCTGTTTTGGTTTACTGCATTGTTTATTTTATTTTTATTTTTTTTCCCTATTAAAGAACTATTATTCCTGCTCCCATATTTTTGCCTGAGAGCCCCTTAATTTCAAATTTGTAACAGTTCAGAGGGAGGGGGTTTACATTTTCCATTTCAGGGGAGGCTCCTGCCTTCCTTTGCAGACACCTGTCTTTCCAAACCAAGACATCCTCCTTCCATCTCTTCCAGCCAGAAAACTCCAGAGAAACCAGAGAAACTTCCTGCAGCTGCCGAGCCAAAGGCCAAAGTGGATTTTCCAAAGCAGGGAATTCCCTGGGCCGAGCGGGCAGAGGAGGGAGTGGGATTTGTTTGGAGCAGCTTTAAAAGTCAGAGGTGTTTGAACAAAGAGCAGCTGAGAACCTTCCCAGGGCTCCCAGGGAGGCACCGCTGCCCTTCCTCAAATAGCAGGGAGACCTCATGGAAATGCCGAGGGGAAGGGGGGCAGGAGCTGGGTTTAGGGAGCTGGAGGGGCGGGATGCTCCCTAGGGAATGGCAGGCTGGGCTCAGACAGCCCCACCTCAGCCCAGTGCCACTGTCCCCAGCACGGGGTGGCACTGCCACTCTGTGCCATGCGGGAGGCCTGGAGAGGATCCAACAGCCAGAAGGGGTGGATTTGGCCAGGGTCTGTCCAGGCTGGAGCTGGGATCCCTCTCTGGCACATTCCATGCTCTGGTCCCCCAAAGCTGCCCCTCCTTGTCCCCTGCTGTCCCCAAGGGCTGCTCCACACCTGCAAAGGGCTCGTTCCCAGCCTCCCAAACCCTGGGGTGCAGCTGTGTTGGAGGAGCCCCTCTAGAGGGGACAGGAGCCAGGCAGAGGGGTCTGGGGTCCCCAAATCACGGGGGTTTGCTGCTGCCCCACAGTCACCCCTGTGCTGGCAGTGGCCTTGCCAGTTCTGTGCTGCCATCCATGGGGATGGGCTGTGCCAGAGGGGCTGGAGCATGTCCAGGAAAAGGAACAGAGCTGGGAAGGGGCTGGAGTCCCAGGAGAGGCTGAGGCAGCTGGAAAGGGGCTCAGCCTGGAGAAAAGGAGGCTCAGGGGGGACCTTGTGGCTCTGCACAGCTCCTGACAGGAGGGGACAGCCGGGGGGGTCGGGCTGTGCTCCAGGGAACAGGGACAGGAGCAGAGGGAACGGCCTCAGGCTGGGCCAGGGCAGGCTCAGGGTGGAATTTGGGAAAATTCCTTCACTGAAAGGGTGGTCAGGCACTGGCACAGCTGCCCAGGGCAGTGGGGGAGCTCCCTTCCCTGTAGGGATTGAACAGCCGTGTGGATGTGGCACTTGGGGACATGGGGCAGCGCTGGATTGGCTGGGCTCGCTCCTAAAGGATCTTTTCCAAGGCGAACGGTTCTGCTGTGACCCATCGAGACTGGGCTGGGACTCGGTGCCGGCACAGCCGGACCCTGCGCAGTCCCTGCCGCACACCCTGTCCCTCCCCGGGCCCGCTCTGCCCCCGGTGCCGCCGCAGCCGCAGCCGGAGCGGCTCCGGGCAGCGACTGAAGAGCGGAGCTCTGCTGCCACCGCCCGGGGAGCCGGGAACCCGCACCGCACAGCACCGGGAACCGCGCACCCAGCACCGGGAACCTGCCCTGAGCTTCCCCTGCAGCTCCTGACCGAGCTCCTGCAGGCACGGGGTGTCAGGGGACCCTGTAAGAGCCATGGAATGGGCTGGATTTGGAGGGGCCCTCATCCAGTGCCACCCCTGCCATGGCAGGGACACCTCCCACTGTCCCAGGCTGCTCCCAGCCCCAGTGTCCAGCCTGGCCTTGGGCACTGCCAGGGATCCAGGGGCAGCCACAGCTGCTCTGGGCACCCTGTGCCAGGGCCTGCCCCCCCTCCCAGGGAACAATTCCTAATTCCCAATATCCCATCCATCCCTGCCCTCTGGCAGTGGGAAGCCATTCCCTGTGTCCTGTCCCTCCATCCCTTGTCCCCAGTCCCTCTCCAGCTCTCCTGGAGCCCCTTCAGGCCCTGCAAGGGGCTCTGAGCTCTCCCTGGAGCCTTCTCCTCTCCAGGTGAGCACCCCCAGCTCTCCCAGCCTGGCTCCAGAGCAGAGGGGCTCCAGCCCTTGGAGCATCTCCATGGCTCCTCTGGCCTGGCTCCAGCAGCTCCACACCCTTCTCATGTTGGAGACCCCACACCCAGGGGCAGCTCTGCAGGTGGGGTCTCACCTGAGTGGGGCAGAGGGGCAGAATCCCCCCTCCTTTCCTGCTGCCCATGCCTGGGGGTTTTGGGGTCCCATCTCTCACCCACCAGCCCCCTCATATCCTTTTCCCAGCACCGCCCCACGGTGTTCCCTGCAGGAAATGACTCCCAGACAGCCCAGGGGTGCAGGAGCTCTGCCAACACTGAAGCCACACTGCCGTGCCAGCAGCCAGGAGGTGGCACCCAGCCCGGGCCCCCGGGGACAGGGGACACTCACCGGACTTGTGGACGCTGCGGAGGCAGGACAGGGACGCGTTCAGCCGGGCACACTCCTCGCTGTTGGCCCCAAACTTCTCCACGGTGGCACAGACCTGGTCATCGGTCATGTCCAGCAGATCCTCCAGGCTGAGCTGCCCGGGGGCGATCTCCTGAGGGAGGAGGGGGGCAGCAATGAGGGAGGAGGAGCAAACCCCCCTGGAGCACCCTCTGCACCTCGGGGAACACCAGGGAGATCCCATTCCCTTCAGGCCATGGACCCAAACCCTTCCTTTTCCCACCTGAATCTCCAAGAAAACCTGGAGGAACTCAAGTTTTGTCTCCAGTTTTTCTGGTTTCAGGTATATCTAGACCCAGCTCAGCCTCTGGGAGCACCAGAAAACCCATCCCTGACTGGGAACACGCAGCACCTGAGCTTCATTCCGGAATTCCCTTTTCCCTGGAGGTGGGATTGCCCTTGGGGCACCCCCTCGCTGCAGGAGCCTGGGATGTGGCAGCAGGACACTGATGGGGACATGGGGGTGTCCCCAGGGCAGAGGGGTCTGTGTGACACCCACTGGGGACAGCAGCAGGGTGTCCTTGCTGCTGGGTGGGAGGGGAAGGGGAAGAAAAAAGGAAAGGAAAGGAAAAAGGAAAGGGAAAAGGGAAAGGAAAGGGAAAAGGGGAAGGAAAGGGGAAAGGGGAAAGGGGAAAGGGGAAAGGGGAAAGGGAGAAGGGAAAAGGGAGAAGGGAAAAGGGAAAAGGGAGAAGGGAAAAGGGGAAAGGGAAAAGGGGAAAGGGGAAAGGGGAAAGGGAAAAGGGGAAAGGAGAAGGGAAAGGGAAAAGGGAAAAGGGAGAAGGGAAAAGGGAAAAGGGAGAAGGGAAAAGGGGAAAGGGGAAAGGGGGAAGGGAAAAGGGAAAAGGGAAAAGGGAAAAGGGAAAAGGGGAAAGGGGAAAGGGAAAAGGGAGAAGGGAAAAGGGAGAAGGGAGAAGGGAGAAGGGAGAAGGGAGAAGGAAAAGGGGAAAGGAGAAGGGAAAGGGAAAAGGGAAAAGGGAGAAGGGAAAAGGGAAAAGGGAGAAGGGAAAAGGGGAAAGGGGAAAGGGGGAAGGGAAAAGGGAAAAGGGAAAAGGGAAAAGGGAAAAGGGGAAAGGGGAAAGGGAAAAGGGAGAAGGGAAAAGGGAGAAGGGAGAAGGGAGAAGGGAGAAGGGAGAAGGGAAAAGGGAAAAGGGAAAAGGGAAAAGGGAAAAGGGAAAAGGGAAAAGGGAAAAGGGAAAAGGGAAAGGAAAGGAAAGGAAAGGAAAGGAAAGGAAAGGAAAGGAAAGGAAAGGAAAGGAAAGGAAAGGAAAGGAAAGGAAAGGAAAGGAAAGCCCCTTCCCTTTTCCAGGTGGGAATGGCCAGCCCTTACCTCCATCACCTCCTTGCGGATGTCGACGATGCGGAACCAGTGCAGGAGCTGGGGGAAGCCCTCCAGTTTGGCATTGCGCTCCTGCAGGGCCACCTTCCTCTTGCAGGACAGCTGCCGGCTGAAATACTTCACCAGTTTGCTCTGGAAAAAAAGGGGAAACCCTCCTGGTTTCCCACTGGCAGCTGGGGCTCAGCTCTTGCTCTGCCCCATCCCAAGGCTCAAAATTCTACCCCAAAACACTCCCGCAGCCAAGAGCATCGAGGTTTGGTGTCCAAGAGGGAATTTCCCTCCCAAAAAATCCCTTTATCAACTCCTTCATGCCCAGAGCAGTGCTGGGGTCTCGTTCAGGGGGTGGGCAGCCCTTGGACACCCTGGGGGCTGTGAGGGGGACAGGGGGACAGGCATCACTTTTCCCACAAACTGCCCCTTCCCAGTGCTGCCCAGCCACCCACAGGACACTTTTACCATTTCTATTCCCAGCCTCAGGGCCCAGGGACCCCTAAAGGACAGAGTCACCTCTCTTACACCCTGGTTTGATGCCCAAAAAAGAACCCTCAAAAGCCACACTCCCCTCTTTTACGCCGCACAAAAACCCTACAAAGGGAGCAGCCACAGCATCAAATCCCAAGGCTGGAATGTGGCATTTTCTCCTCATTCCCCCCTCACCAACCCAATTTTTCCTCTCTCCAGAGCCATCCCCCTTCTCTGCTGCTTTGCAGCCCCATCCCTGCTTGGATCACCCCCCAAATCCCCCAAATCCTCCCACCCCGAGGCCGGAGCCGTTCCCAGCCGCAGCCCGGCTCCCAAAATAAAGCTGCCCTCCTTTCCCGGGAATATAGAGCAGGGCTGGAAACTGCCGGGATTTCCTGCTCCTGCTTTCCCGGCTGGGTGATTCCCCGGCGCCTGCAGCACTAGATGGTGCTGTGCCGCTGCTCCTGCACACCCCAAAAGCAGCCGGGTGAAATACGGGCTGCTGTGGGATACAGAGATGAGGGGAGAACCCCCTTGTGGGATCTGGGAGTTTTCCCGTCTCTCCTGGTCCTTTCCCTCGTGGGACGCACTGGTGACGCCCACAGGGGTTGGCATCACCCCCAAAATCACCCCCCAGGTGGGTGAGGGCCCTGCCAGGAGCTGGGGACGGGGTTGTCACCCCCTGGCAGCTTGTCCCCATCCTCAGCCTGGCTACCAGAGATTAATTCCTGAAAATCAAGCCCCAAAAATGAGGCAGAGCCAGGCCTGGGGGGCTGCAGGGAGCCCTCAGCTCTGCAGAGCCCTGCCCCACTCCCAGAGCTGATTTTTAAGGAAAAACACTCCCAAAACAGACAATCAAAGGTTCAAGGATCAGCCTGGATCTCGCATCCCAAACACACTCCAGGCTTTTGGAGCTGAAGCAGCCCCAGGCACTTTAAACACACCCAGAGGCAACTCCTGTCTCCCAAAAAATGCCCTTGCATGGACACGACTGCAGCAAAACACCAGGAAAAGGAATTTCTAAAAGATTCACATCCTGCCCCCAGCCTGTTCTCCGTTCTGCCTCTCCAGGTGAGATCCCAAAGGGAACAAAGGTGATTTCTGAGCCTCCACGGCATCACCAGTGCCAAAATCAGGGTGCTGGGGTGGGAATGGAGCTGGGAACAGGGTAGCCCCCCACCATCATGCAGAGGTGAGCTGGGAATGGGGAAAGAGCAGGGAAAATTGAGGAAATTTAAATTCCAGAGCCCTTGAGGGGTCATTTTTAACCCAAAAGAGGACCCCGCTGGCACCCCCAGGTGCTCTGGTCCATGGATTTGCTCCAGCCAGGGAAAAAGAAGCCCAAAACCCCTTCTGTAAAATGCAGAGGCTCTCGGTGTTCGCTGGGGTGGAAAGGGGAGGGAATTCCCTGTCCCATCCCGCGGGGAATGCCCCGTCCCGCGGCCGCGGAGCTGCTCTGCCTGCCGCTCATCCCGGCACGGAGCAGATTTGGGAAATGCCGCGTTCCTGCTGAGGCACAGCCTCCCCCTGCTCGCTCCTCCGTGCCTCAGTTTCCCCACCTGGAAGCGGGGGGCACAAGGAGAGGGGTGGGAATCCCGCGGATCCGCCCTTCCTGCGGTGGAGTTTGCGGCGGGTCCAGCTGCGGACGCTGCTGGAGGGGATCCAAAGCTTTTCCTGAGGAGCTGGGGCTGTTTTCCCACCTTCCCAGCGCCTCTCCCTGCTGCAGCTCTGCCGGGGGAAAGGCAGGAGCAGTGCTCTGGGATGAAGGAGTGAAACCACCGGGATTCCCCTCTCTGTGGAGCACCCTGGAACCCCCAGCTCCTTGGAGACAGCATCTCCCCGGGGCGGCTGCGGGCACAGGAGCGATGTCCCCGCTGCACGTCACCCCGCAGGACCTTGGGTGACCCCGGGCAGGCGAGGGGCCGGGATCACCCAGGGCTGGAGCTGGATTTCCCAGTCCCAACGCCGAGGGGGAATTTCCCGGGGCTCATCCCGAGCCCAGCGAGCGGCTGCTGCCCCAGCCCCGGCGGGCTCCGAGCCGGTCTCCAAGGAGAGAGAGGGCGGCTGTTCCCCCCTGGAATGGGATCCTTGACGTCAGCCGGGCTGGCGACGGCACCGGCCCTGCCTGGAGACCGGGACAGGCGGTGGAAAATCCAGGAGGGGGAAGTTCTTTCATTCATCTGGCACCCGCTGAGCCGTGGGGAATGCCCTGCCCGTCCCATCCCATCCCATCCCATCCCATCCCATCCCATCCCATCCCATCCCATCCCAGCTGGATCAGCACGTCCTTCATCCTTCATGCCATGAAGTGAGAGGTTCTCCTGCACCCCTAAAATTCCTTCTCCATGACAAATAAACACAACCAGAGCTGCTCCCTCCAAGGGGCTCGTTATTCCAGAGGCACCTGGAGCAGCCTGGGGCTGGGGAATTCCTTGCCATGGTTCTATTTTCTCTCTCAGGGCTCTTCCAAGGTCGTGTTGGGCTTGGGGGATGTCTCTGGCTCTGCTCATCCTTTATTTTGGGAGATGTTAAATGATCCCTAGGGAGTTTTCTGGGGATACAGGAGCCAAAATGTCTCCATCCAGCATCCCAGCTCTGGGAGAAGTGCACTGTGCTCACCCATGGTACGAGACACCAGAGAATCCATTCAGGCAGTGAAAATCAAAAAATCATGGAATGGTTTGGGTTGGAAGGAGATTAAAGCTCACCCAGTTCCACCCCATGGCAGGGACACCTTCCACTGTCCCAGGCTGCTCCAAGCCCCATCCAGGCTGGCCTTGGGCACTGCCAGGGATCCAGGGGCAGCCACAGCTGCTCTGGGCAAATCCCAGTGCTGGAACAGCATTTCCAGAGCCTGTGGAGGTTTGGGAATGGCCACAGCTCTTTCCTCAGAGCCTCTTCCCATCCTCACCACACAGCAGCAGCCAAAAGTATCCTGGGAGAGTTCCGTGTTCCTGGCAGGAGCAGGGCAGGGGGAGGGAAATGTTGATCCTGGAGCCATCCACCAGTTCCTGGGAGCCCTGACCCACATTTTGACATTGGGATGGGGTTTAACCCCACAGACAGAATGGTGCTGTGGGACAGTCAGGAATATCATCCAGCTCTGAGCAAATTTTCCTTCTGCTGTTCCCAAATTCCACCAAACACAGCACCCCCTATCCATATTTCCATCTCAACCCCAAATTTAGAGCCATAAAGCCCAACTGCCACACTTGGACAGGGATAAAACCCCACAGCCCAGGCAGGGCTGAGGGAGGGACACTCAGCTCCTTCTGGATGCCCCCCCATAGGAAGCAGACCAGTGCCAATTCCCACTCCAGGTCTTTTATCCCAGCTGCTGCCTTGGTTCCCACTGCAACCTGTCCCAAGGCATAAGCAAGACCCAAAAAGCCTCCCAGCTCCAAGGATTGCCCCTGGAACCAGGCTGCAGCCGTGGTACCCATCCCAAAAATGCTGCACAGCAGGAGGATAGGAGCTCACATCTACCTGAAGGTGGCTTAAAACAAAACAAAGAAGGGAAAAACTTCTATTAGTCCAGCAAAATCAATGTTTAGCCTATGAAGATTAACCAAAAAAACATGGATTCTCCTGTTTTATTCCAGGCTCATGCTGACACAAGGGCTGGGCACTGTCTCCAGAGCCATATCCCAGGTCACCACTCCCTTTGCCATGGCACTGCCTGGCCCGGCTCTGCTGCCACCAGATGGGAAGGGAAGAGACACTGAGCGAGGCCTCGGAGTCTGTGTCACGTCCTTGGGACGTGGTGGTGGCAGCAGGGACTCAGGGACACAGAGACTCGGGGACCTGGGGACTCAGGGCCAAGCTCTGCTCCTGCTGACGCTGGTGGCAACCCAGGACAACGCCAGGAGCCAGCCCAGGGCTGGCAGGGGGAATCTGGCCCTGGATTCACTCCCCTTGTGGGAATCACCCTGGGTTTGAGGTGAAAAACAACCAGAGAGTGTCAGCAGGGATGTCCTTGGCTGGAACCTCCCCAGCTCCTGGTTTGGGGGTGTTTTAGGGATGGCAGTGCCAGGGCTCCTTGTGGCTGGCACTGAGTGATCCATAGGGGCTGGAGAAGTGCTTCCCTGTGAGCATTTGTAGGATAACATCCTCCTGACCGCCTCCAGACCCTTCATCCAGCCCCAGCTGCTGCCCTAGTGGCACTGGGATGCTGGGAAGGAGCATCCCACCAGGATGGCATTCCCCCAAAGACCTCCAGACCCTTCATCCAGCCCCAGCTGGGCTGCCCCAGTGGCACTGGGATGCTGGGAAGGAGCTTCCCACCAGGATGGCTCCACCACACTGCCCTGCTCCCCTCCATGTCCACGGGACACAGACAGGGAATCCTCAGTGCTGACCTCAACGAGGCCAATCGCTCCATGTGGGATGAGCTCCTGGAGCCCTGCACCTCCTGGCAGGCTCTCCCGGGGATTTGGAACCTGCCTGCAACCCAAAAAAGTCTCCAGCATGCCCCAAAATCACTGTTATCCTCTCCTGAGGTTGCTCCAGGACCAACAGCTCCCAGCCCCTCACACAGAGAGTTGGGATGAGGCAGGGCTTGGATCAGGGGGAGGTGACAGCAGGATGGGAGGGGGAATGAGCACAAGCTGGGACGCAGAGCAGGGAGCTGCACCCCAAACCTGGGGTCTCCCCACAGGCGGCACAGCAGTGACATGGTGATGCCCCAATTGTTCCCACAGCTCTCAGGAACTTGGGGAGCAAAAGCAGCAGGACAAGGTGTTCCAGTCATGGTCCAGAGCCAACAGCTGCCCCACAGAGGGGCCTGGGTGGGATCAGGCTCTGAAACCCCCCACCCACAGCCCCAGCTCCGCGCCAGCCGCCCCCACAGCACCCGCAGGGCCCCGCTGGCATCTCCCCAGGGTCACAGCCTCGCTCCTCCTCGCTCTGTGCCAGCTGCAGGGATCCCACTCAGCCCTGGGAATCCCTGGCTGTTCCCTGCCCGTCCCAGCCCACCGACCTCCTGCTGCACCACAAATCCACCCCAGCGGGGCTCAGCGTGCTCCAGGGGGAGCTCATCCCCCGGGAGGCAGGAGTGGGGAGGGGAGAAGGCAGCCAGGAGGGAGGGGTGCAGGTGGGCCAGGGGATGCAGCCAGCCGGGCCAGCTGGAGTCTGCTGGAAGGGATGCAGGTGGGCTGAGGGGATGCGGCTCAAGGAAGGGGATTCAGCCAGGCCTAGGGGATGCAGCCCCGTGCAAGGGATGCAGGTGGGCTGAGGGGATGCTGCCTAGTGGAAGGGATGCAGCCAGGCCCGTGGGATGCAGCCTGCCACAAGGAATGCAGGTGGGCCGCAGGGATGCAGTCCAGGGAAAGGGTTGCAGCCAGGCTGGGGGGATGGAGGCAGGCAGCAGGGGTGCAGGTGGGCCGATGGGATGCAGGAAGGTGGAAGGGATGCAGCCCGGCTGGAGCAGGAGCCTGGAGGAAGGCCGGGGGATGCAGGAAGGGGGAAGGGATGCAGGTGGGCCGGGGGATGCAGGTGGGCCGGGGGATGCCGCCTGCCGGGCGGTGGAAGCCGGGGGCGGGACGCGGCCGGGCCGGGGGATGCCGGGGGATACCGGGAGGATACCGGGAGGCTGCGGCCGGGGCCGCGCGTCCCCGGTGGGTCCCGGCAGGAGGGTTCGGTGGTCCCGGACCCACCTCGGGGCCACCTGCAGAGCGCGCAGCCTCACTCGGGCGCACCGCAGCGCCGCGGGGGAACCCGCCGCGGCCCGGGGAGGGGGTGGGGGGGAGACTGATGGGGGGATGTTGATGTTGGGGGGGTCGGCGGGCCCGTACCTCCAGGGTGCGGATCTCCTTCTGCGTGAGGTCGTTGGAGGCGGCGCACTTGGTGCGGAGCCCCTCCAGGTTGGAGATGCTGATGTCGATCATGTTCTGGACCAGCTCGCACTGCTGCAGCGCCTTCTGCAGACTCAGCTCCTGCTCCTCGCTCCTCGTCATGTTGTCCTCATCCATCGCTCGCCGCCCCCCCCCCTCCCCGCCCGCCC